TACCCACAAGAGAAGAAACCATATACTTGCAAGTGAAGCACTCATTGTAATCTAATAACTATTCATTATGTCAGTCATAAATTAGTACTTGTGGACTGTGATTTGAATCATTTTAAATTTGCACAGAGTTGTTTTCAGACTGTCTGCATTAAAATTCACAAAAATGGTACATAAAAGTCCAGTAAGTGGAGCAGGGCTCCTTCCCTGTCTTGTAATTTGCAGAAGTACGAGTACAACAGACGCCGCAACTTGTCTGCAAGTGTGTGTGTGTTTTCTTTTTTTCTTTTCTTTAGTTTGTTGGTTTTTGGGGGGGGCGGGGTTCTTCACAAGACTAGTTTGGCTTTTTTGAGTTCTCTTTTCTTGAACAGTACAGGCTAGAATAGATTTGCCACTGGCTAAAGAAGAGTTACTGTATCTGCATCTACCAAAATATCCATCTGTTAATCTCGGACTCAGGCGGAAAGTTCTGAACTTTGATGCACTTGTGAACACATCTGTTGAAGCCATGATGTGGCGGCCCTTCATCTTCAGCTGCTTAATCGCATGCACAGGTGGGTCTGTTTTGTTTTGTTTGCTTGTTTTTGCTGTGCTTGTTGCTTTGTTATATAGTTACCATATTATATTTCTATAGTTTTAACACAACGTCCAGTTCCTCTTCAGGAGAAAACCTTCAACCACATTAGCACTGGTCTTAAGCATTTTACTTCTTCAGATTATCAGTTTAATTTAAATCCACTTTATGAAGTCATTATCTAAAATCTTTAGCATTTATCACTTGGAGTCTTTCTAGCATAAATCTGCTGCCTTTAAAGACAAACAAAAAAAAGCCTAGCAGCTGTTATATTGTAGATATTGTCCTATTATGTATTAAGTTGCAGGTCATTAGACATTTGACCAGAAGTCTTCAATCCAAATATGCTACAAATTGCTTCTTTCATTGCAATAATTCAATGAATGGATCATTATTTAGCAACTCTAAAGCAGCTAAAGTATTTTAGAGACTAAAGTGACCAAATTATATTATAATTTTATATTGGGACTTACTTTTAGTCTGTGTTTGTTTTTATTATATCTATAATTTTTCCTTTATCCTATTTTAAGACATTTAAAATATTTTTAGAAAATCTGTAATGTAATTTACTATGACTTATTCTTTATGCAAAAAAAGTACTTCGCCGTTTCATCTCACTTTCAACATTTAGTTTGTGCCTCAAGGCCTCTGTAGCTCCATCATTATCTCTTAACCTCCAAATCTTCCATTATGTTAAGTATCAGTAAAACTATGAATGTTGTAACAGAGGAATACAAACAATTTCATGGTTTTTACAATAAAAATATGTCCATCTATATTTTAAATCCAGAGTTATGAACAGTGTGATCAAAAATCAAACCACTCTTGAAAGTTAAATGGAACGTGTCACCTAAAACGGGTCAGTATATTACAACCACCCAAGTTGCAATATTGTCCATGCATCTATTCTCGTCCGCTTATCGTTATCAGGGTCACCTATCCCATCTGCCATAGGGTGAAAGCCAGGGTACACCTTGGACAGATCGCCAGTCTGTCGCAAGGCTGACACAGAGAGACAGGCAACCATTTGCACTCACATTAACATTCACCTAACTCAGATGGTAGAGTGAAACTCATCATACGCCTTAAGTCCCTTACTCCCAGTATTATTGTTTTATTTTATTTATTTATTTATTTTTAGGAAAGCTTGTGAGCACTTCATGTCCATTTGACATAACCCCTCCTAGAGTTGTGGTGAGATTTGGAGACTCCTTATCAGCAAACTGCACCTCACTATCTGACCAGACTGATGGAATGGGATGGGAGTGTCCATATGGAGGATTGGACCTTACCCAGGGTGTTTCTTCTCTTCTATTTAAAATTGACTCTGTGCCAGGGTGGGAGTTAGGGCCAATGTGTTTTGTAAATCTCCATGATGGTGATAGTGTGTGAAAACATTGCCAGTCACTGTTTATAGTGAGTAGCCTTAACTTGGTCTAACATTTCTAAGAAGGTCATTGTTATTATATTTTCACTGATTAACTTTGAGTCATTTTATTATTTTTAAAAAAATTATTTTCTTTTTCAGAAATGCCAGACAGTGTGTCTCTGAAGAATTTACGTACAGTGGAAGAAGGCCGACAGTTTGTCATACAGTGTGATGTTGTTAATGTTGCACCAGCAAGAAATCTCTCATGTGTTTGGCACAAAGGAAATAAGATCTTGTCTTCTCAGACATTTGAATGAGTCCATGTCCATCTCATGTCAGTAAGTCATCTGTCCTCACTCTGACTGCTCATAGAGATGATGATGGAGCTGAGATCTGGTGTGAAGCAAAGCTGAACCTGTGGCCAGAGGAACAAGGTCCTCCTCCAGTGCGTTCAGGGCCATATTCTGATGTACTCTGTGAGTTTTTAACATGCTCTTAATTTAATCACCACAAGCTTTCATACTGAAAAAATGAGCTTTTCTTTATTTGTCTGTATTTTGATTGGATGTCCTCAGACCCACCAACTTTCACCAATAATCCAAATGAGAATTTGGAAATGACAGTTGGGAGCGAAATATCTTTAAATTGTACAGCTAAAGGAAATCCAGTACCATCCTACCATTGGCAGTTCCCAAACTTTACACAAGTGTGGTACAGGAGTCATGATGTGAATCATCCTATTTTGACTCCATCATCTAAGTTTCCAGGGGTCTATATCTGCACCGCCTCAAACAGCCAGGGCACTGCGACCAAATACTTTATCATCACCAAAGCTCCACGTAAGTTCTTGGCAGTTCTTTGTCTGTTTAAATCTTTATTTTGGGATTTGCGATTGATTTTATGTAAGAAACTTTCCCATCTCTCACAGGAGATCAAACAATCATCGCAACAATAGTCCGACTACTTGTGGCCTTTGGACTCCTGCTCTTCCTTGCTTTTCTAGTTTTTACGACACACAGAGGCATATTTTCATGCAAGAAAGGCGACTATCTCCAAGGACAACCTACCTCATCAGTACCAGTATAAAACAAATTTGAATGGGTGCATGCTTGTTTTAAAGCTGTAGCTGAAAAAATGCACCATCTTGTCAGCTATCGCTAAAGCTCCACTAATCAAGAGACTGCTGTCCAAACAAGCAAATTTAATCTAGCAGAAACGTGTTTAACAGCAACACTGTGAGTGTAAACATGTGTATAAACAAAACAGATTAATAATCAGATATCATCCTCAGCTATTCATTTATTTTAACTTTTCGCTGGACAGAAATAAGAAGGAACAAATTTGCCTCTGACTGTCAACTGAAACTTTTTCTAATTCTAATTTTAGAAAACCGCTTGTGATTTTTATCAAGTCTTTATGCACGCCTGTGTTTTTCTCTCTCAGAAAACAGGAAATGCAAGACATTTTATTGCATGTTCACATCTTTTCATGTGCTCAATTTAATGTATGATCCACACACATCTTTACAACTTTTAGATATACAATAGAACAGCTTTTATTGTCACTGTTACAAGAACAATGAAAGGCTGTTTGGCGTTTCTCCATGTGTGAAGTACGCAATAGCATAAGTATTTACACAATCACAGACAAATTTAAATTTACACAAGAAAGATATGTACAAGTTATACATACCCCTGCAAACATACGGATACACCCATACAAACATACACGCATATACATACATATATGTATATACACATGTATGCATGCGTACATACATAAACACACATATTTCCCATGTACGCGCTTACATATATACATATACATACACAATTTTAATGATCTAGAGATCAGAAATGAGCTGACTTGTTTTCTGCACCACAAAACGGAGGAAAGTTTTATTTTTAATTTCCTTGTATGCAACGCTTGGTTGAAAAAACATTGATTTGGTTCTCAATTTTGAGGGCAGTTTCAATGCTTAGATGAAAAGTAAGTGTGTTTTGTTGTAATCTGTTGTTGTAATGTAATCATAAAAAAACTCTGATATTTGTATATGATTTTTAAAAAAATTTAATTTCATCCCCATTTCTTAAGAGGGGACAAACACTTAAATCGGAAATCTCTGGTTTTAATTACTCCACTCATCAATTTAACTGTTATTAATGGAAATAAAACACATTTTTTGGGTCTAAACATGCTCAAAAACTTGTATTTTGCACACAGCTGTGGAATTAGTGTAAGGTCTGGTTCATTCCTACGTTTCAGTCATTTCAAGGTGGTAACATTCACTCTTTTTTAAAAAAATTTATTTTCTATGATTTGATCATTTCATCTAAAAGAGGGCTTGTTAAACTATTAGAAAAATGTACTGGTTAAACTGAGGATGTTATGCTATAACAATTTTGTTGGGCTTGCTACACATTACTCATTATTTTTCTTAAAAGTAATACACGTGGGTTAGGGTACATACATGTACGTTATTAATTACTTAACAAAGAAAGTATTACATTCCTTTCCTGTTACTCAGTAAAATGACCTGAAGTGCACTGTCCCATAATTAATGGCTAGCAAAATAAAACTGTGGCTACAGTTCACATACAAGTACAAATACAGGCTACAATGTTATAAGCCTGTCTGCTCATCACTGCCTTTGTTGCCTGTCAAGATACTGGGTCGTGTGACCAAGTTTTTGAGTTTAATGTACCTTTTTTTGTGTTTTCGTTTCAGTTTAGCTCATTTAGTTGCTGTTTTAGTCTTTTGTTTCTTAGATCCCTTTTTCGTCGTCTCCCTGATTCGTGTGTCTACCTGTCATGTTTCATGTCTGTGTGGTTCTTGTTAAGTTCATGTCATGTCTACGTCTCCATGTTTCCTGTTCTATTGAAAGAGTCTTGTGTTCATTGCTTGTTGTGTTTAGTTTCACTTCCTCCTGTGGTGTCATGTTAATTTGTGTCAGCGTTTCCCCATGTGTGGTCACTTCCCTTGAGCACCCCTTGTATGCATTTAGTCAGTGTGTTTCCGTTCGGTCTGTGTCAGGTGGTCTGTTGTCATCCCCCATGTCATGTTAGTGTGTTTCATGATGATGTTCAGTCTTGGGTGTATCCCTTCACAGTTTCCCTCATGCTCCTGCTTACCATCATCTTCAGATCAGTATCAATGTCGTCACAGTTTTGTTATAGTCATAGTAATCATAGTTTAGTCTCGCCCAGTTTAGGTTTAGTCTTCGTTCTTGTCATCTGTAGCTTTTGCCTTATTGTTTGTAACAGTTTTATATCAGCCACAAGAAAAGGCTCGCTTTTAGTTCATCACAGTTTTGTCGTCCTCCGTGTCCTGCTTTTGGGTCCAGTTTCAAAATTTAATCGGTACACCCCGCCGTGACAGCTGCCTGCTGAAGTTTAGGATCTGACTGCAAAGTGTTTGACTTGACAAAAGGGATTTCTGACGTTTTTGGGCTTTTATGCCTAGTATATTTAGTCATACTGGTAAAAATACTGTAGTCACCAGGATTTACAAAGTGGTTAGGTATAAAATAAAGAAATGACCTGTTTTGCAAGTATCTTTATGTGTTTGCATTATTGAATGAATATTAAAATCAATATAAACCTTTCTGTCCACTTAAAATATATTTTTAAATCTGTGATTTTACTTTTTTTTTTTTTTTTTTGAATTTTTTGGTTTATTTTAATGACCTTTTTTACTTGATAAACAATTTTGCATTTCACTAGCGCACTCTTGTGCTGTAACTTAAGAAAAGTAATTTAGTAAAAATCTGTAGACCACTTTGTTCTCCTGACACACAAACTAAAATAAGCTAACTGTAGAGCATAGAAAGAAAAAGTGTTTTCATTTGCATTTATAAGATGAAATTAAATGTTTTAGAATTATACTGCAACTTCAACCTCCTGTCCCAGTATCACCAATTCACTCTGGTTGAGAAAATGAAAATCCTGTAAAGGATTAAAAGTTTCTAACATCAACTAAGGTAAAGTGTAAGTCCTCATGGCGGACAATGGGTATTAATCCATACTGCATAGCACAATTAACAACATTGCCTAAAAAAGTATAAACAGTAACAGTCCTGGAAGACACAGTTGAGCTGCTTTAGCTGATGATCCTCTCACACCAGCCAACAGAAAACAGTAGGTGGTGTTTTGTTGAGAGTGGGAGGGTCGTAACACATTTGGACATTATTCAGTCTTAGAGCTTCTGCATTTGTAAATCTTGCTCCTCTAGGTCTGTTAGCTATGTTTCATAGCAAAACATTACCATAGTGATCAGAAAAGAAATTTCACAGTAAAATCAAAGCCTAAACATTAAAAGGATATGCAAATTAATGTATCCATGCATCCAGAATACCAGCAGAGCTGAAATAATGTGCTAAATTTATCATTTTATTATTTTTAATTGTTACTATTTGACCACATGCCGAATTTAAATGTTGCTGTATCATACTATATGGCTATGTTAAGCTTTCCTGTATCATTCTAGGAAAGCCTGTGAGCACTTCCTGTCCATTAGAACTTAGCACTCCTAGAGTTGTGGTAAGGTTTGGAGACTCCTTATCAGCAAACTGCACCTCATCATCTGACCAGACTGAAGGAATGGGCGGGATGGGAGTCTTCATATGGAGGAGTGGACCTTACCCTGGGCGTCACTTCTCTTCTGTTTAAAATGGACTCTGTGCCAGCGTGGGAGATAGAAGCAATGTGTTATATGAATTCCCGTGATGGTGATCAGTGTACAAAAGTGTTACCGGTCACTGTTTATAGTAAGTAGCCTTAACTTTATCTGAGCACGCAATTTTTAGTATTCACTGAATAACATGAAAATAACATGATTACAGTTTTTTACAGACGCTAGGACACATTTCTCAATACTTAGGTCACTTTTGCAAAACTCCTCACACAGTGAGCACAACAGAAGTCTATGTGGGCTAAACTGAGGATCAGTTATCATTGTTTTGGCACAAAATGCATTCAATGACTACATCTCTCAAATTTCATGAATTATTTTCTCACTCAGACACAACAACTGCCAAAAATCTTTGTACGTACAGGACATTTTGCATGTGCTTACATACTGTTTTCAAAACTGTTAAACTTATGGCCAAAACAATAACACAATGCAAAACTTAAAAAGACAGCAAAATTCAACAGCAATATTTTATTGAAACATATTTTAAATCTAAAAATGCAGTTTAACCAGCCACAGCTGATTCTCATTGTAGATGAACATCTACACAGGTGTTACTCCTTCAATTTTTCAACTCCTTCAATTCTGGCAGCCAGAAGATTCTTTCCTAGGTGTATTGCCCTAGATGACATAGAGGATGTGGATGAGAACCTGTGGCCAAATGGAGAAGACCGAGTAGATTAGCATTACTATTGTATGTGTATCAGTGGATGGTGTGTATACAAATTCTTGTATTTTGGGATTACTTAGTGCAAAAAAATAAAAATACATAAACAAATATTACAGTTTTTTCTGATTGCTTAAGCACATTTTTTGTAACTATTGGCTAATTTTGCAAAACTCTTCACACAAATAAGAAAACCTGTCACCCAATAATCAAAACATTGTAGTTCTCTTGCAAAAGCAAACACAGCTAGATTAACTCTTCACACCTTCGTAAAAATGGTGTTTCCGTATCAAACAGTACACACAAGCCATCATCTACTAAGCACACAATGCGCCAACTGCACACTGATGGTATGAATACAAAACACATCTGGCTTTTGCTTTCTCTGTGCACAAGGTAGGCTATGTCAGTTTGAGCTCATACTTCTGTCATAGATCCATAAGCATAGAGGGATCCAAACTTCAAGTACTGGTGTTTATTCAAACACATCAAAACAAACACAAGTGTTTATTTCCAAGTATAGGATTATTTGCAATCGCCATAATGACTATATGGGTTACTTGGTCTGCAGTGAACATGCTTCCTCTGCCCCCAGCATCTGGTCATCTAGCAATTCTGTAAAGTAACAATTTCAGTATTTTTACATCAATGGTATTGGTGTGTTTCTCATTGGCATATGGCAGTGCTACAAATCTTTGTGCGAAGTGACTGTACTAACCGATTCTCATTTCAAGATGTCCTTATGGTACTTGCTACAGTGTAGCGGCTCGAGTTAGGCTGGACCCGTTGGCCAGCTACCCTCAGGGTCATTCCACGGTTGATTACATGGTCCACTATTGTAGCTCTGATGTCATCAGCAATTCTATTTCTTACTCTTCCTACCCTTCCTCTCCCCCCTCCTCATCTTCCTCTCCCCCCTCCTCGTCTTCCTCTTGCTCCTCCTTGTCCTTGTCGTCCTCTTCATCCTACTTCTTCACCTCCACGTCCTCTTCCTCGGCCTCCTCTACTTCTCACTCTTTCTGCTCCCTCCATTGTACTCCGCACACACAGCTTACCTGTATTATAGTGCTTAGGCTGATTGCAAAGTGAACTAATTATCTAAAAAAGTTTTCACATGTGAAAGTGTGCCAGACAGTTGGCAAATTAGTGTTAATGATAGCCATACATGTGTATACTTTTGCTAGGAGTGTGTTGGAAATTTGGTAATTGAGTGTTGTGCAGTGAATTGTGCCTACAGTTTTGCAAAGTGTGTGTTACAAAATTGCAAACTGAGTGCAAAGCAGTTTTTGTGCTTTTAGTTTTGCAAACTCAGTGAGTGGTTTTGCTATAAGTCTGAATAGTTTTAGAGATTGTGCTACAGGAATCACAGTTAGGGTTTAAGCATTCAGAAAAAACTGTAACGAATTCTGCATGATGTCTGATTCATTCCAGTAACATATATTGAAATTATAAACAGAGATGTGTCCTTGTTTTACACAAGAAAACACTGTGTAATGCTACATGTTGTTAGTGTTTTTTAGGTCATTGTTTTGTGGGTGACAAAGTGTGTTTGTCGGCTGTCAACCTTTGCTAGTGTTCTGGAAGAATGAGTTTATTTGAGACCTGAACAAAGTGTTTTGGTAGTTGTAGTGCATTTTGAATGTGTCCGGCAGCCTCTGTCAGTGTGCCCCAGGGTGGCTGTGGCTACAATGTAGCTTGCCATCACCAGTGTGTGAATGTGTGTGTGACTGGTTGTGTAAAGCGCTTTGGGGTCCTTAGGGACTAGAAAAAGTGCTATACAAATACAGGCCATTTTAAACTCCAGCTGATGCTTCTATTACACTCACACACACTAACTTGTCTTGTCAATCACTGCCATGTCATTGCTGTATACCAGCCATTTCCAAGAGTCAAGAGTGCTGCATCACTAAAACCATAAAATCCTCAATCTAATCAAAATACAACATAAAGTGATGCATTTCCTTTAAAAATGTATGCAAAAAACATAAATCTCACAGGCTGCTGGCTACAAATTTCTGCCAGACAGATGGAATGGGATGGGAGTGTTCATATGGAGGAGTGGACCTTACCTACAATTTTTCTTCTCTTCCCCTTAAAACTGACTTTGTGCCAGTGTACAAAGAAGCAATGTTACATTAATATTATTAATGCAAGAGCAGTAAATGTAGGTCAGAGTAATGACTAATATCACAAACTAAACCACTCCTACTACCAGTTTTGATTGATTTTTGTATATAAATATATGTCACTGTTCATCAGAATGAATTTGTATCACTTCGGCCTATCTGCAGTGCCTTCATGGCCCACTAGGAGGCTGAGCCAACACTTTGTAAATCACTGCATTATATTGTCGGACTCTTTTGGCTGCATTTGTTATGTTTGAGATTGTGGTCTTGCTTGATTCTCTGACTTACTCAGTTTGCCTTGTCCTCCTGGTCAAGATTCATGGGGAGTCAGCTGGCTATGTGTGAAGAATCATGTTTCATCTCCACCAGCAAAGCCTTCATTTGTGGAAAGTTTTGTTGGAGAGTAGAGTCTGTGGATCATTCTGGAACCAGTCCCATGATTTAGGTTAACTGGAAACTTGGTTTTGGATTTCGTTTCCCCACCCAGGAGAGGAGCAGCGATGGATTTTGGAAACCTTTTTGGATATCTCATTCATAAACTGATCTCTACTGTAGACTGAATTCATGATTTCTCTAGGTAACCCTCCAGACATGTGGATGAAACTGAATGTGACCTTGACAGAAATACCTTTTTTTCATTCAGTAAAAGGACTAAATGTTACAATCCCTGATGGTACATTGCTTCAAATGGAGAAAGTCTTGAGAGATGCCTGTTATGAGGAAAGGCAGCCCAGAAACTTTACTAGCTGGACACATTTTTGTGTGCTCCAACTTCACAGGGTGTTTCAGTCTTTTATCCCAAGCTAATCTGCTATTTTTTACCTTCCTTGGTTACGTTTAGGGATTAGAGATCTGATCTAGATTATCATATTAAATTTGGGACATATCGTCAGCAGTGGACCTTGGATTCATCGGGTGAGCTGGAAGGGGGGCGCCTGATCTGGCTTCCCACACCTCCCTGTCGGATCAGGCTGTATGCTTTACCTCCCCACTGCCTTCCAGAAAAGGGAAGAAGAGCAGGAATATTTTTCCTTTTCTTTTTTCTCTTCCATTCCTCCTTTAGGTTTCGCTACCATGAGGTTAATTGCATGGCCCCCAGGAGGCCCTGAGACAGCTGTATCAGTCAAACAGCAAAGTTTCTAGTGTTAGGTTTTCTACCCCTTTGATGCCCTCTCCTGAGGCAGGCACACCACGGGTTGATCAATCCTGGGCATGTGTCTCATGGTTAGCTGACTGCTTTAGCTGCTCAAGTGATGTCAGCCCTCTTTAGCCACAGCCAAAGAGGGCTGATATCACTCTTTAGCCACAGCCAAAGAGGGCTGACATCACTCTTTAGCCACAGCCAAAGAGGGCTGACATCACTCTTTAGCCACAGCCAAAGAGGGCTGACATCACTCTTTAGCCACAGCCAAAGAAGGCTGACATCACTCTTTACCCACAGCTAAAGAGGGCTGACACAGCCACAGCCAGTGACTGGTCCTCTCAGGAGCTAATTCTCTATGCTAATTCTCAATTCTCCCGTTGGGCCTGTCCTCTGATTCCAATCTCTCTAAGCAGTTTTGCTATTGTACTGGCAACAAAGCCTCTGCACCCCACTTCTACCGGGTGCACCTTGATCTTCCAGCCTCTGTCCTCTGCCTCAGCTGGCAAGTTGGCATACCGCAGCTTCTTACACTCAAAGGCTTCCTCCATTGCATCCTCCCACGGCACTGTCAGCTCAATGATGTAAACAAGTTTTTGGGAGTTAGACCAAAGGGCGAGGTCTGGTCGCAGAGTAGTTGTTACAATTTCTGTGGGAAAAAATGGCCTCTGAACCAAGTCCACTTGCATCTGCCAATCCCTGACAACCTTCAGCGGGCTTAGGTCCGGGGGTGAAGGGCTAGTCCTTGGCTTGTCTCCCTCCCGGACAAATGCTGATGAGTACTGATGCTCCTCTTGGTTCGTGAAAGGTTGAGCGTTGATGGATTTCCTCTTGCACTCAGCTTTCTTGGCTAGACACCTGAGGACCTGAGTCCTCTTTGAGTTCACTTTTATCACTCAATTTTGTTTTGTGTGTGAATACTCAGTACTGTAACCTTTTCAAGAACATCTTCTTTCAGTCTTTTGAAAACGAAAGCAGAACACGACAAACTCATTTTACGCGAGTTTGCAGTTGAAATATTATATCTCTACAAACCACATCGGACCTTTCTCTTGTCTTTAGGAGCCTCTGGTTTTATTTGTCAAACTAACAGGAAGATGTCATTATTGAATGTTCACAGTGCATGTAGTTTCTTAGAACGTTTGCTTGTGGAAACGATAGAGTGAGTCAACGCCCATTTCAATGTTCACTTCATGTATACCATGCTGTTCATTCATTTGTTTGGTTGGCAACATGTTTTGATGCTGCGTTTTAAATATATCATGTTTAATATTGACGCTATGTGAAGTGAGGAGGGTTTATTGTAACACAGGGTTATTCGACTGAGCGTCTAACGGTCTTACAGGACGCACATGAAATGCGAAATAACAGAATCCACGCCCCCCCCAACACATACACACTGCTTAAACCCAACTATTTCTTTAGTTTTCACCGAACACAAAGAGAAATCAATGAACTTGACTCGCTGTTCAAACACTTTCTTATTCTAAGTATGGTGTCACTCATGTGTTTAGATGCTCGGGCGGATTTATTTCGCAAAATCACAGCAAGTGCAAGACATTTTTATTGCGTGTAATATAACGTATGAACTACAACCTTCTGTGCAATACTTAGAATTTTGCTTGTGCAAACCAGAAAGTGAGGAAACTGTTAACTTCTTCAAAATAACTCTGCATTTTCCTCCACGGGCGTAGTCTTTCTGCGCCTGACGAAAGAAAACGAAAGGAAGAAACGCACGAGTGTGCGCACATTTAGAAAAAGCTGTTCAGGTGGATCTGCTTCGTTTTTAGTTTCCTTCTGAGGGTTTTGTACGCTTGGTAAAAACACTATGTTTTTCTTCATCTTTATTGCGTGGATAGGTAAGTGTATTTTTTTTCTTTGCGCTCTTTACTTTGTTAAAGTTACGAAATTATAGTTTCAGAACGGAACCCATCTTTCGGATGAAGCGCGCTGTTTCTTTTACATCAACTCCGTTTTTAGGGTCTGAGCACTCAAAGTGCAAAGGTCCCGTTGGGATTGTTCCGTTTATTATCATTTTTTTGGTATATATGCATGACGAGTCCCACAAACAACAAACTTTTAAATTTACATTGCGCACACGTGTCAGCAGCTGTGAGCATTATATGTAGGCCTGTTTTCGAAAAGTAGTCTACCTCCTATGTCCTTTTCCTAACAACACTTAAAGATGGTAATTCACAGTGACTTAGGGGAAAAAAGAGTTGTAGGCTGAGAATCTGGACTACCTGACAGTCGTCTCCCAAACCCGAATTTATAGTCCCGCACGTGTCAGTCTGCGTATAGGGTTTCCGTTACGTCTGCGATGGAGAGGTCGGCACTACACAAATAGACAGAAAATATCATGTACAGATATATTATGAATATATTCACTTTTTAAATTATTAATATTGAAGCTTTTTTTTCTTTTTGATCAGGTTGGCGCAGTTGTTATTGGGCTAGCAGCACGTGGCAATTAAAAATCACAGTTTAGGTATTTGGAGTGACTATGGTTAAATTATCCGTTCATTTTACTTGGATCCTGATTTTAATCCTTAAATCAACTTATTTCCTTACCACTATCTCATGCGGTCAAGTGAGCCCTCACTTGCGAAGGTAGCCGTCCTGTCACTAAGGGCTTGTTACTAGGTGTTGCTGGCTGCACAGTGAACATGTGTCAGATTTTCCTGCATCTATTTTTTTTTCTCTCGCTCATCTTTTCAGCTCCACATTTTCGCCACTGTTTCCGCACTAAACACTGCTCCACACGTTGCGCAAGTGCAAAGCAAAAGTATTGGAGGGCTAGCTCTGGGTATGTCTAGGAGATTTGATTGGGCAATACAGTTGGCCCATCGGCGCAAAAGTGCGTCGCCCAACAGGAAAATGCCCGGTATGCCAGTTCACCAGTCCATCTCTGGAAGACACTGTGCGCTCAAAGATTTCTTTTCAACTCAGACAGCTCTGTATAGCCGGAACTGACTCTTGTGACAGCAGGTGTAGCAACAAAGCAAACGGAAATACGCTGTTAAATTATCTACTCAGTTAAAAGGAATTATATTCTGACAGCATTTGCAATAGAGGATGTTAAGGTGACACAAAGTTGTGGTCAGAAATTTCATTCTTATGGTGACACATCTGAATAACTTGTATTTATGTACAATTTCTTGAACTGGTGATCTTGGAATCGGCAATTGTTTGAAAATGTCTCATTAAGCTTCTAGAGTGGCCTTCCCAAAGCCCAAAGAACATCTAGTGAACCCACTACAACCTGAATAAGACTTGTAAAGCTACTACTCTTGTTAGTATTTGTCAGAGATTTTCTATAGAGAGTGCCCATTGAAACCGAAGTAAATTCAATCATTCAATTATTAGCAGTAACCTCACCAAGTTTAGTGGGTGGGTGGGAGATCTCAAACTGAAACAAATCTTGAAGAGTCTGCAACAGTGATCCAAGATAATGTTAGTTATATAATTTAGTGTGGCTTTATTCATCACTTTGGACATTGAGTATCCTCCTCAAGGCTTTTCCAACTGTAAATTTTGCTGCTCCAGGTCTGTTAGCCACGGTTCACAGTGAAACACTACCAGCATATGCACATTTGATAGTATTTTTCTTTACTATTTGATGATACGCCTAACTTAAGCTTTCCTGTATTGTTTTAGGAAAGCCTGTGAGCACTTCCTGTCCGTTAGAAATAAGCCCTCCTAGTGTTGTGGTAAGGTTTGGAGACTCCTTATCAGCAAACTGCACCTCACTATCTAACCAGCCCGATGGAATGGGATGGGAGTCTCCATATGGAGGAGTGGACCTTACTGAGGGTGTCACTTCTCTTCTGTTAAGAATTGACTCTATGCCAGTGTGGGAGATAGAGCCAATGTGTTATGTGAATTCCCGTGATGGTGATCAGTGTACAAAAGTGTTACCAGTCACTGTTTATAGTGAGTAGCCTTAACTTTGTCTCACACTTTTCAAGTATGTCATTAGTACTTAATAACTGGGTAAAATTAATTCATTTGATTTTTTTTTTATTTCAGAAATGCCAGACAGTGTGTCTCTGAAGAATTTAAGTGCAGTGGTGGAAGGCCACCAGTTTGCCATACAGTGTGACATTGTTAATGTTGCACCAGCAAGAAATCTCTCTGTGCTTTGGCACAAAGGAAATAAGATCTTGTCTTCGCAGATATTTAATGAGTCCATTTTATCTAATGTCAGTAAGTCATCTGTCCTCACTCTGACTGCTCATAGAGATGATGATGCAGCTGAGATCTGGTGTGAAGCAAAACTAAACCTGTGGCCAGAGGAACAAGGTCCTCCTCCAGTGCGTTCAGAGGCGCATATTCTGACTGTACTCTGTGAGTTTTTAAAATGATCTTAATGTAATCAAAAAAATATTTCTTTGTATTTTCATTTTCAAGTTTTTCTGTGTGCCATTTGATTTCACATATGCCCTCAGACCCACCAACCTTTATCAGCGCTTCAGATGAGACTCTGGACTTGCCAGCTGGTAAAAACATTTTAAGTTGCAATGCAACAGGAAACCCTTTGCCATCATACCACTGGCAATTCCCACAAGCAGCACAAGAGACATACAAGGATCAGGACGTGAATTATCCTATTTTGACTGGACCATTTGAGTTTCCAGGGGTCTATACTTGCACCGCCTCAAACTCCCAGGGTACTGTGACTAAATACTTCACAGTCAACAAACCTCCAGGTAAGTTCTCATCAGTTAATTCAGTACATTTCCCATCTTGTTATATTTTATCATCTATGATTTTTTTTATTCTTCTTTAGGTATTGGTCCCGGGGCCATTGCTGCGATTGCAATTGCTGCAATTGTTTTTGTTATCTGTACTTTGGGAGTGATTCATCGCAAATACAAAAGATAAGAGAATGTATTTTCAAAGCCAAAAAATTTGCTCTGTGCCATGTTTGAATCCTCAAAGTTTTTTAGCTACATTCTTAAATGTATTAAAAACATGAGGACTGGTAAAGCTCAAATAGCATGTTTTGTTTTAGCAATTTGTATCCATACATTTTTTTTATGGAAACATGATTGTAATTATCAACTGTAACGTCTGTATTTTTTTCTTCTTTCGATGTTTTAGTGTTTTACTTTTTTGACACCATAAGGCCTATCTTTTCAAATGCAGGCTTCATTTGTCAAGCTCACTGTGATTCACTGTGTAGTGCTAATATAAAGAAAAGTTGGGACAAAGATCGCATCAACATAAACCTTTCAAGTATTTAACCGCTTAAAATCCCCATCAGTATTAGTATGTCCTCACTAATGCACGCTACAGTTTTTAGGTATAATCTCCTGAAAACAAGATTAGTAACTTTTTGCAGCATTGCTCACTTGCCACATGTTGTCTTTTGTCAATTTATTTTTGATCTGAAATCCAGTTTTACAAGTGTGCACACATTAAATCAAAAATAAAGTTGATAATAAGTGTCATGATGGTCATTATCTCTGTCTAATCATTTAGGTCTTGTAAAGCCAGCTAACACTTTTGCCAAATATGATTTTGTGAAGAGCTTCATTCCTCTTTTCTGTTTACGTCTCCAAATCAAGAAAATCAATGTAGTGTTTGTCTGATGTCGAACACAAAAAGGTTTAAATCAGGATAAAAGCCTAGACAGAAAATGCATTAAAGAAAAGAAATAATGACAAAGACATTTACAACTACTCTCTTTATTACGGTAACAGCCATATTTTACCATGACAATAAAATATGGAATCTTCCTGGGATTTACACTGAATTCCTCAGTTGTTTGACGGTCTGCAAAGAGAGTGAAATTTAGTCAGCGACAAGATTATACAACATTATGACAAGTACATTGACAAAACTGACAGACTGAACTCACTTGGCCCATTCAACATTGAGAATAAGATGATCATATCCAAATCCTGACACTCCTGCGATGGCTCTTGCTGCATCCTCCCGACGGTGGAAACTGATAAAGGCAAATCCCTGTTGGAAACAGGATGAGATTACTGAACCATGCTCAGTTTCAGTTCAATGTCAACAGTTTTTTAAAAAAGGAAAAGAAAACGCACCCACACTCAGCAGCTGATACTTAAAAAAATATATACAAAAACGACAATAATAAAGTCAAGCACTCAATTTTCACTTTCACTGGAACACTTGACAGACAACATGTTTGTGTATTTTCTTACGAACAGAAAACTAAACACTGTAGTCAATTTATCAGCTACACCGTCTTGGAAAGAGGTTTGTTAAGAAATTGTTGCTGACACTTTATTAAATCAAATGTCCGCTTTATAACTGACCTTCGACTGTCCCGTGTTCTTGTCCTTGGCCAAATAGATCCTTGAGATTGAGCCAAATGGTCTGAAGAGCTCCTGCAGGTCTGTCTCACGGGTGTCCTCAGACAGGTTGGTGACACGAATGGTAGCATTGTCATCAGCTGTCAAAAACAAACAGTGTTTCTATTGAACAATACTTCAGGCTGTGCAGGCATTATCAACCATAATACCACTACCATTACACCATCCACTAGTTTCTAAAGATCTGTTTTGAAGCCCTGAAGTTTAGCATTTCCACTGTTGCCATCTCGGTTGCAAAAACTGGATGCAATTTGGGAGGCTGGGTGTGACTGTAACACTGCAAGCTCAGTGTAATGTCTTTTGACTGACAACTCATTAGCCATTGAGCATGCAATTTCATCTTCCTTTTTGAAACATAGCATTACTAAGACTTCCAAAAAAGTGAAAAAAAATAAGTGAGAGCCCATAAACTAAGAAAGCCTTTCCCTCTAAACTTCTATAGGACTGGAAGTCTTTTTGAAACCCTGCATTTCTATTGCCATCTGGTGGCAACACAATAGAAAGCCACCAGATGGCTGCATTGCTGCACTGCCTTCATTTTTCTGACCTGGAAGTTACATCCATGTTTTATAATGCCTATGGCAATTTCTCAAAGAATAACGGGTGTGAATAGTATAAGCAGACAATGTGCACCCACCTCTGCGGTTAGGCTGCATGGACTCCCCTCTTCTGGTGCCTCCATCCCTCAGGCTCGGAGGAACATACTTCCCGGTCTTGCTCTGTGCAGGCTGTGCAGGCTCTGGCTCCGCTGGTGAAAGGAAAAGCATGCAACATTAGTCATGATAACTTTAGGAACACCAAACCGCAACAGAACATCTGACAGCAAAAATTTGACTATATGAATGGTATGTTCATGATACCTGAACCAGCAGGCTTCTCCTTGTCTCCAGTAGAAAGCCCGAGCTGTTCAGCCAGCTCCTTCTGCATTGGACCCAGGGTGTCCTTGTACGGACAGCGTGTAGTCCAGTGATCACCTTTGCAAATACGACAAGACACGATCTTCTGTCCTTTCAGTTTGTTCATCGGATCTTCATCCTGGTCTTGGGCATTTAAGTCCTACAAAATGAAAACGATACATCAAGTAAAGATGCAAAGCTACACCATAGTTAACTTTTTTTTTTATTATTAGAACAGTAAACAAAAGCAGTAACACAAAAAAAACAAGACTCTCACCTCTTTGCTGGAGATGAAAGTCATGAAGACATCATCACTGACGGTAGTGGTGGCAACATTAGGACCTGGTGCATCATACTCAGAGTTACCAAATTTCTTCCAGTTCTAAAATGAGTGCAGGATAATGTTTGACACAGAGTTTACTATTTTGTTCATGGATAAAGTGGAAAAAGGTTTACTTTTATTTAATTTAAAGACAGACCTTTCTTCTGGCAACAGCTTTTGAGGCTTTCCTTGTCTCAATCTTAAAGGTTCGCACAATCTAGAGGACAAACAAACAAAATCAACAACAAATAAATCAATATTAATATTAATTAATAATATTACAAACAAGTTCCTTTGTATACAGCAAGTGCAAATATTTATGAAGGTTATGTTAAAAGGACTGGTTCTCATCTAGCAGTCATCTACTCTATTCAGGCTTTATGCAACATGTCTCATTCACCAATTAACAAAAGCATTTTTTCTACCTTGCTTTCTATCTAACATTAACACTTCAATGAAAGCATCAGGTTCAGTGTCTCGCCCAAGTATAGTTTGGCATGCAGACTGGAGCAGCAAGGAACCGAACAACCAACCTTCCAGTTAGTAGATTACCTGCTTTACCGCAGCCACCCTGAACTAATGCGCCTCTAATAAAATCTATACAAATCTTGAAAAATGCAGTCTTACTCAGAGCTTTCAGATGAAACTATGACCTCTAGAGGGCATCTGGTATCAATAAAAGAAATATTAAAAACCATTTAATGACTACATCTGTAACTTTGCTGTATAAAATGTCAATTGAGAAGTTTGTAAATTTAGAATCTAGTAGATGGAAAACAAGAATGGGTTTTACTCTGTATCTATGTTTTAAATGTGCCTGTAATTGCTTTTTAACATATATTACTCATAGCTTATGAAGTTCTAATGCTCAAAATAAATTGTACAACCCATCATGTGCCACAGGGTTTCAGAGGTGCAGCCCAGGGTTGACCATGGACACCACAGACTAAAGCCTGATAACCTTACACAATCGATGATAAACCTTATCACACTCCGTTACAGAACTGCAGTTATATCAGTAACAACCGTTTTTCCTGCACTTTTTTGTGCAGCCATTTTTTTCATGCTCCTCCAGAGCCCTGTTTTAGACTGCAATTACTACATTGGCGACACCCATGCTTAGCAAAGGATCAATGAGTGGGAGAAAAAACTACTTGTCCTACAGCACTACAGACAGTATCTATATCTCCTTAACAAAAGTAATGCAATCACTGCATCTATTCTTATAACTCTATTGGTCTACAAATGCAATGATAGATGCATTTTTAACCATTTAAATATAATGAAGATAAGACTTTGTATAATGAGTCTTGTAAAAACGACATAATAAACGTTTTATTACCTTGTACTTCTTTCCATCATCATCTATTTTATATTCCGTGACAGTTTTAATATTTCCTTTGATGGTCTCCTTGGGGGATGGCAGTGTGCCTGTGAAGAAAACATTCAGTTTAGTCCTTGAAACTGCTAGAAAAACGATTGTTTTTCACGCCCCGTTTCTGAAGAGCTTCGCTTCCCACGTATTCAATCAAACTCTCAATGAAAGCACCATCAAGGCTCATCTTTTGATCAAATATCCAGTTCTGAATTGGATTTCACACTCGGGTGTTCTTATTTGCAATAAGACACTTATTGACTTTTGATTACCCGTGGCGCTGAAACCCTACTTCTAACACAGCTGTGTTGCTAGCGTAGCCTGCTAGCTGATAGCTGCACTCATGTTAGTACTGAGAGACCCTGCTTACGTCACTGTTACAGGCCTCAGCATATATCGGTAACTCTTTTCATCAATAAATCGTCCATCCATGTCAGTCACACGAATATATCACTCCAGCTTTTGCATAATTAGACAACCCAAATGTCTCAGGTAAACACATTTTTAGCTCTACGTTTACGCCTAACAACCACGTGGAAGTGGAAACCGCCTAGCCGGCCTCCTTCTTGAGTCACTGGACTACAGCAGATGTGTTAGCATTAGCTAAAGCTGATAATAGGCTCTTTACCTTCATCTCCTTCCTCCTCAACTTGATCAGCCCAGCTGGGCTTGGAGCTGAAAGACAGATGCGAAAATGCAACGTTATTTTGAGCTCAATAAAGACTTCACAGTATGAAATGAAACAAACAGAACTTACTCGTCGTATTCACTCGACGGCATCCTCACTGCTAGCTTCACTTTAGGACCGGAGCAGTATGAGTCGAGCGGCGTCGCTACTGTACGCACTTCCTACCACTTCACAATAAAAGTGTAGTGTAATCCCCTTTTTTTGCTTCAAAATAAGAGCGCAGAACTCATTGTCTAAAACCAAACCAAATTAAACATCGGGGTTGATAATAATCTGGAAAATTCTACGCAAATGTAAAATTAAGTTTTTAACAGAAAGCAATATCTGAGATCTTAGGGGTTTAAAAACAAACAAACAAACAAAGACACGAACATGCAATTTACATGAACATGAAATTTAATTTAAAAAGTTTTTTTAAGAGCAACAATAACAACGATTTTTATTTTTCAATTCGACCAACTACATTTTTAAAGGGACTTCTACTACACAAAACTAGATTAGTGAAAATTAAATAATATTCTGGATTCTTTCAAACCTTCCTCACATGTTTGATAGTGGAAAAGAAGCACATTCAAGAGCAAATTTTGGGGCATTAGAAAACCTTTATTTCTAGCAGTATTTTGCAAAGCACTGTTGGTCTGCATTCAAGTCAAGGAACATAAGGTATTTCTGGAGATTGCACCTTTACAAATCCTTTGGACAGAGGTTGCACCACTGCAGCCTGTCTCACTCAAGTGGTAGATGTCTGTAGATGATGGTCGGTCAACTTTAGAAGCTGGCATGTTGACTTGATTTAACATGTTGTCAATTGTAGTAAAGCATTTTAAAAGAAGTTGGTTTCTTGTCCAATTGGGTGCAGTCTCTCCTGCAGACAACCGAAAATTCTGAGATACATAGGTCAAAGAAATGTTAGATCTGCTCAAGGGCCAGATGCATATCTCAGGCGAGGTGTCAGGACTGATCATTTGCCATACACAGCTTGATTTTTTCAGACCCATAACTTCTTCTTTTGTTCTGCACTTGTTCAGTTTCCTTAGATTTTTTGAAGGACACACTGCACTTGACTAATATCCCGTTGGGAATCATGTTGTTGATGCAAAAAATATTTTATTTATCTTTGGGAATTTTCATAGATTCAACTAAAGTACTTTGAATAAGTTACAATATTTTTCTGACAAGCTGCTAGCAACAAAAAATTAAAAGATACATTTAAAAATTGGTTCTTTGCTATGTTGTCTGTTATTTGTAGACACAACTCGGGTTCATCCTTTGCCATAGAGGACTTTGTTAATGCTTGAATGATTCATATGTCAGTATAAAATGGTTAAACAAACAAACAAACACAAAAACAAAACGTTTTTCAGGTGATGTGATCAGATGCAAGGACTGGACTGAAAATTTGTGAAACCATAGAGAACTATTGCTCAGGAGCACTTAAAAATATAAGAAAGGCTGGCTCCTTGCAAACAAAATGAAAAGAAATAACTGATTCAGTATAATTTTTATTGCTGAACTAGGCCAACAGGAAATTAACCAAAAGAAACACAATGAAAGTGTTTTAGAAAAGTCATAATAGAGACTAGTAACACTTTGAAATAAGATAGCTACAAGAAAGCCAAGCAAGTGCTATATGCATTGCATTGCATGTGTTAGACTGTACACAAAAACCACAACAAGAGCAACAGCTCATCACCCCCCGATGTTGTCTTCTGAGCTTTTTCCACAACACGCTACTCTCATACTGTCAAACACAGCCATGTAAAGGACCGGATGGATACACATGTTCACAGTTGCCAGTCCCTTTGACACTTGGTACATATCATAGATCCAACAGACAGTGTTGTCCGGATGCAATAATCTTAGATGCAAGTGATAAATCTGAAAGAAATGATAAGGCACGAAAGAAATGGCATACAGCACAAGCACTGATGCGACTAACAGGGCGACTTTGCGTTTCTCAAGAGGGGTTATGTTAACATTCTTCCAAACTACCCAAATCACCACACAGTAAGAAGTGAAAGTAACCAGGAAGGGAAACAGACACCCAAACATAGAGAGGAAAAATTTGTAAACATAGTGAGGGTGTTCAGTCTCGTTGCAGAAGGACACGCACTGAATTTTGTTATTAGACCCATCTGAGCAAACAGATGCAAATTTCAACACCGGACTGGAAATGACTCCAACGATGACCCATATGACTATACTGGTGACCTTGGCGTGGCCAGGCGTTATATAGGAGCGGGTGAAAAATGGACAAGCGAGGGCCACGCATCGATTCACGCTTATCGCCATGATGAAGAAGATGCTCACATATAAGTTGCATGTGAAAAGAAACTTTTCCAGCTTGCACACAGCGTCGCCGAACATCCAGTGCTTGTCCTTTGAGTAGTAGACGATTAACAACGGCAGGGTGAGGACGTACAGCAGGTCGCTGATGGCTAAGTTGCATGACAGAACAACACCGGTGTGCCAGTTTCTTCTCTCTTTGACGACCAGCAGCCACAGGGCGAACAGATTTCCAGCCAGAGCCACGACAAACTCAACTCCATACACCACAGGCAGGGCGCCTGTTTGAAACTTCTCACATTTAGAGAAGTTAGACAGCATGCTTTTAATTTGCTTTTAGGTACACTGTTAGAACTGTCCAAGCCCTGCAAATCAAAGTATATTAATGCATTAAATTTCATTATCTAATAAAACAACAATTATTCTGGCACAAATTTATATTTTTGTAGAAAAGGAAGTTATTGAAGCTATTTATAGAAACCGCTTTTCACTATTTAAAAGTTTTAAAGTGTTACAGCTAAAACAGAGATTATATTTAGTAATGAATTCTTTTTTTCTCTTACCGAAAGGGTGACGAATAGTGCGTTATGACTTGAAAGTTAAGTCCTGCGTGATAGATAGGAAAAATATGAAACACTTCTCAAGTACCATTCTTATCTCTGTCGGTGATAGAAGTGAGCGAGAAGCGGAACGCACGCATGAGCATAGAAGCAACTTCCTCATACCCTTTGTCTTTATTTCACAACTAGAAGAAGGAAAAGCACGACGCCAACGTCAAGCATCTGTAATAGTCACAGGACAGATTGGGTATGTTGTAGCAAAGCTTCCATCCATATTTGTTTTGTTTTTTAATCTTTCCCTTCATCTGCCATTAGTCTAAATTTGGGAGGATCATTTATACATATATATATATGTACATTATAACAAATGTAATCTATTCCATATCACATAGAGTAAAAACAAAAAGTCAATTGCTCACCAGGAATTTTAAAAAACTAGCCAACATCGTCCTTTTGTGGTGCTGGGCCAACATGCACTGAGGGAGCTGCTTTGCTTATTATTACTTGTTTGGCTATGATTGGCAATATACTACTTCCCTTTTTCTTATCCTCAATGCAACTCTGGATTTCACATCAATATTTGTAGGTGTCAAATGTTCAGAACTGTACATGAAAGCTTAGAAAATGTGTCGTAGCAGTTATTAAATATAGTAAAAAGGACTATTAAAGGTCAAGTTCATTTTTATAATCCTTAAACACTTGAATCTTCATTTATCATACTTAAATATCTTTTTCTCAGATACTTTATTTTCAGAAAGATCAACATATTTTGCTTTCAAGAATGTGTCAAAAACAATAGGTGACATATGAACTTTTCATTAAAAGTCTTAATATTTAATTTCATTTTAAACTGGTATCAAAAGGTGCTCATGTAATGCAGTTATTTTTCATTTAGCTTTCCCTCATCTGTAACAGTGTTTCCATGACATCATGCTTGGACAGCAACTCAGGAAGAGATACTAATAGTTGCTGGCTGCTTTCTTCCAACTTTGTATCTCTTTGCAGTTACTTAAAGTTTAGTAAAACAAAAGATCGATTAAAAAGAGACAAACTGGGAGTCAATTTATTTACAGAACAAATACAGTTTGAAATTCAAAGATCTTTGCATAACAGAAAGAGGTCGGTTTTCTGGTGACAAATATAAATGCTAACAGGAAACTCTCACAGGCGTCACTTGCAGATAAAGCATTCACCAGTTAAATAACAACTTTTCCACGTTTCCTGTTGGAAACAGAAAATTTCTCCAAGTCCAGTTTAAAAGGAAGTACTGAAGGTCAGCCTTTTCCCTTCCTCTGTTTGAAGCCTTGCTTTCTTCCTCCTGCATTCTTATTAAAGCCCATTTTGCCTTTCTGACTTTTAGACTTGAATGGTCTGTCCCCATTTCTCTTTTTCCCACCAAATCTATCCTGCTCTCCAGCTCTCTTTGCTCCAAAAGCCTTTCCTGTAGGCTTCATTTTCTTCCCAAATGATTTTTCCCCACCCCTGGATTTCTTCCATCCTTCTTTCTGTTGTTTTTTCCCTGTTTGGTTTCTATGCTGTCTTCCTGGTGATTTGGAACCTCTGTCTTTTAAAGATTGACCAGGGGACAACTTCCTCTTCTTGGCAGGTCCATGAGATTTTTCTGAACTCCTCCTCTTCTTCTTTCCACTCGGAAACATGCCTACATGGAAAACATCTGTTAATACTTAAAAAGACCCCAGTGAACTAAGAGTGTTAAGTAAATTAGCTACAGTCACCTTCGTCTGGCTCCTCTCCTACGGCCTGTCTGTAGTACTCTGCCTCGTCATCAGACTCAGCATCAGCTCCCTGACCGTCCTGAGCCCCTGGATCCTCCACCTCACTGTCCTCTTCAGCTTCGGCACGTTTCTTCTTAATGCCTTCCAGGCTCTTTTTCCTGTGAGAAAGAAGTGGAGACACCGTTTGTCATAAACCGCATCAAAAAATGGATACGATACAAAAAAAAAAAAAAAAAAGGAAAGTCAAAACATTTGAAAGCCATTACCTGTGCTCTTCTTTTTTCTCTGTCTTCTGAGCGATGTTCTGCTCCTGCTTTTTCCGGCGTTCCTCCTTCTCTTTTATCTTTGCCTCCTTCCTCTTCAGGATCTCCTGGATTTCTTCCTCCGTCTTGGAGACTACAAGGATTGTACAAATAATTCCTGGTTAAGAACAGTTTTTGCCAGCTTCCAAACGATAAATAAAATTCTGCAAGTTCAGGGTGTATCAGTAAGCGTTTACTTTTTTTTTTTAGAGAGAAATCATAGAATTCATACAGTTTTTTTCATCATGTACACCCCTGCATATGCTAAAGAAAAAATTAGGAAAAGGATGCGCTTACTCATGGAGTGATATATGACGTTCCCCTCGCCCATCCCTTCTTGAATCTTCATTAACCGCAGAGTCATGCGAGGACCAATCTGAGAACAGCACAATGAAATTTTCAGCACCACTCAAACACTATTTAGGGAAAAAAAAAAAATCAACTTTGTGCGCGTACGCACTTCGGTCAAGCGGACGGCACTCTGCTGGGACGCCATGTTGCCTCTTCCAGAGTAGACCTGTGGAAGTTCGGTAACGTTGTGCTCCTCGTCTTGCTCAGCTTCACTTTCTGAGAGGTTTGCCCCCCTGAGAATGGTTACAAAGAACATTTCATTAGACAAAACTCCAGCTCACCAACGGCTACAAATCCGAGCCCCTTTTAATCCTCGAGGCTACAGCAATTGTACCTGAAAAAGAACCTTACTTCATCAGCAGCTCACTGATATCCTCAAACTTGTTCATATCAGGGAACCTCTCCTGCATCAGCTTCTTGACTCCACGGCTCACTCCCACAGGGACAACCTTGAGGCTGCTGCAGGGTGGGAACAACATATTGGTCAATTTCAATGTGTAATCAGTAAACAGAGTAAAAAAAACCAAACAAATGTTTTTATCCTGTGGGGGCTCATCAGTGCGTTTACTTTGGACATAGATCACTGAACAGTCAAGTCAAGGTCTGTCATCATCTGAGCCCAAATTTCACAGGATTGTTGTTGAATGTAGGTTTAAGTAACTGGAACTAGTTTCGTGTACGTTCCTTAACAGCGCATCATCTGTGATGTGTGTGCAGATGTATAGATTCAAAAGCGTTGTGACCTGATGTTTATAGGCAACTTAAAATGATAAAGAATAGCCAATTTTTACTTACTAATGCCGGAATTCAATTTCTTCTGATTCGGAATTGTAGCTTAACAGGACACACCTCTTGATGGTGTTGAGGCTTATCTAAAACACAAGAAACAGAACAAAACATTTCTCTTGAGTGGAAGTCAGGGTTAGGCAATCACAAAGCTGAATGGATCAACAGAGATCAGAAAGCGTTTACTTTTGATAAATCTTCACATAAACTCAGAAGACTATACTTTCATCATATCAATGAGGTTTTAAACCTCGAGTCACCCAAGGAAAAAATATTGCAGTAGCTTTAGTGGTAAAACCCACCTTGTGCACATTTATGGAAGGAAACATGTTTTGGAACATGGTGGCCATAAGTTTGATATGCATGCCATCTTGTCCAAAGTTATTAAGGATGAGCAGTGGATGATACTTGAACTGCTCCTCGTGCATCCTGTGCTTCTTCAGAGATGAAACGACATCTTTGATAAGACAGTACTGGAAAAAAAAACAAAACAAAAAAACAACTTTGTAAAAGTAAGGAATAGAACGATCAAGAAAGAAATCGCAACTTCGGTAGTTTGGGCACATCAGTGCGTTTACTTCGAATAACATTTATTAATCACATTTGTCATGAACCCATGACTCATTTGATTTAGTTTTATTTTGCATGCACAGTTTAAATTATTTACCTTGGTGACCTGGAAATGAAGCATGGGACCTTTGGGAAGACGAGCAACTCTCTGTAAGAAGAATGTTTGATTAGATTTATAACAGAGGCACAGATTTGACATACAGTTGCAAATGCATTTGTTTACAGTCTAATATAAGGATTCTCAACTTGATGTGACAGGAAGCCAGGTGCTTGCTAATATAAACAATATAAAATGTAAAAATTAAAAAAGGTCTATCTAATATTTCGCTATTTTCAAATGACTTAACTACTTTAGCTCTGACACCAAGCACATTTAGAGGTAAATTATAGGCCTCAGTCAATCAATACTCTAAGGTCATCTTACCATGTTGATACTGGTGGGCGTTTTGCTGAAGATGTTGAAGTGTGTCACTCCCAGTGGTCCTGCTATCGCAACAAAGTCTTTGAGCACATTCTTCTTCCTAACCTGTTTTTTTTTTTTTTTGGTAAAAAAGTAAAACGATTTCACGCACAGTCTGCAGAAATAAAATATGAATAAATCAATACAATAGTTGCCTAAAGAACTCAAAGAAGGGACCTTGAGAGAGACTGCGGTGTAGGGCTCCATGACTTTTCGGATATCGATAATGAGCTGACCCACGTTTTTTCCAACCTGGCCCCGGTGAAACACCAAAGTGTGGGGCACAGCCGAGTAAGTCTCCTCGGCCTCATGGTTGGCCTGTAATCGGTCTTTTTTCTGATTCCGGGTCTGTTGAGGGCGATAAACACATATTAGTAAAGGGGTCAATTACTGACTGTTGCTGGTCTCACGTTTAGCTTTAAGTTTAGTGAAAAGAAGGCTAACGTGAAAGGGTCTCACGACACAACTAGCTTTACAAACTACACACATTTTCATACTCATCGCTAACTACAACCCAACAGGGTTTCCATTTAATAAAAGTAACAGTTTGGTTTTTCGCAAACTAACAATGATTAAATAGCCTCTTTAATAGCAGCATTTCAATCCACATCGGCTAATCTTTTAGCACAGGCAGGTACTTACCTTTGATTTCCCCATAATTCAGCTCGAAACAGAGCGCAAGAATGTAATGGGAACAAAACACACTCACAAAAACTATCACTATACTATACTTAAGCTACCAAGAACGATCAAGCTCATTTTTTGACGATATTAACCAACAATTAGTCCAAACTGAAGTTAACGTGACGCCACCCACATGGCTCTACTCTGCTTTTCTAGTGTGTGTCACAGGCTAATAAGTCCGTATTTCTCGTGTCTTCGATAGTTCCTAGCCGGTGTACGCTACTTTGTTTTTTCCAATTGCAGTTCATCATAGTAACCGCTGGATGGCCGTAGACAGCTGAGACGGCTGCATCTCTTTGAAAGATGGTAATCGACCCCCTCCCTTTCTATGAATTTTGGAATAATAATAAAAGAAAAATAAAGTAACACAAGTAACATATTCTAATTCTATCTATTTAATTCAATATACATCTCAAAAAGTTGATTCTGTTCATCTGGACGTAGCGTTTTGTGTTTCATCACTCATCCAAGTGACATCTTCAGTCTCAGCTGACTGCAGGTTTCCCCAAACCACTGAAGTGGGCTGGTTTCAGTCATTATGCAAATATACTGTTTATAAGATTTGGGGAAACCTGCAGTCAGCTGAGACCGAAGATGTCACTTGGATGAGTGATGAAACACAAAACGCTACGTCCAGATGAACAGAATCAACTTTTGGAGATTTACTTTCCTGGATGACTGAGAATGCATCAAGACGAAATTCAATATACAGTATTATGGAAAAGTCTTGAGCCACTCCTCATTTCTTTCTGCAATTTGCAAGGCCTCAAACTCAAACACACACACACACACACACACACACACACACACACACACACACACACACACACACACACA